AAGTTCTAACTCCCAATTGAACATTAGGCTTTTGTCATGGCACCACCTAAGTTCTAACTCCCAATTGAACATTAGGCTTTTGTCATGGCACTCCTGGGGAGTCTCAATCACCCTCTGGGCAGCAAAGGCAGCAGAAATAGTCCCAAGTCGCTGGTCAATAGGCCCGTGTGTGTGGCCTACCTGCCCAAAAATGTGTGTACAGCTTCGCCACCTGAATTACCAGGCCAGTGAAACAGTAGCAACACAATTTTGGTTCAAAAACAAACCAAATAGAAAGTACAAAACCCTGATAAGGCAGCACCACCAATAAATATTAAGGGCTTAGGTGTTCAAAGGTTGGAGACCATTGGGAAGCCAAGGAACCGATTGTTCACAATTCCAACAGCATTCATCTTCATCATAATTTGGTTTTTCCCCTCACGGGGGCAATTGTCCGTCTGCAGGGGTCAGGGTTTTGTTTGGAACACATGGTTGAATCTTCATTGTTGCTATCAACATAACTTCCAATGCAGTGTGTCTTAACACAAAACAGCTACTGCCCCCCGTTGTTCATCCTTAGTAGGCACCTCCAGGATCAAATGCTCAGGAAGCGATTTCCCTTGACGGGCCAACTCCTCCTCAGCCCAATCAATTGCTTTGAGCAGCACTGTCACCTCCGCTGAGGAGTTGTTGGCAATATCAGGCTCAAGGAGCAGATATCCTTCCAGCACCTGGGACAGAAGGTTTCTGCCAAAGAGGATGGTGTAAGAGCTCTCAATGATTTACCACAGTAAACTATTAGGAAACCAGGAAACCATAGATATACAAAGACTTGTTGAAGTATTTCCCAGTGACGCCCCACACGATAACACCCACACAGTGCAGCTGTGGGCGCCATGCAGCAGCTAGAGTTTTGCTACTGTCAAGGTTCCTGGGAAACCGTGTTTTGTTCTGGTCTAGGCCGTCGATGTCAATCTTCAAGATGTTGGAACCCTCTGTTTTGCTCAAAATATTCAATCGATTCTGAATGAGGCGATATTGCTGGACGTTGGTTAAATGCTGGCGCTGGTTGTCTTCCAGCTTGGACCGCTCCAACTCTGCTGTTGCTCGCCTGCACCTGGCACTGAACTCTGCACAGATGGAGCACCTATCAGGGCAGCCAACAAGAGAGTGAAAGCCAAAGATCAAAGACCTTTCTTAATGTTTCTTATTTGTTAAAAGTCAAGCTTTTGAGAGGACCCTGCACCGTGCATGCTGTGACACTGTGCGCATCCGCAGTTTGCCCTTCCATGTTGATTCATATACTTCACGGAAGCAACGGGAACTTGCAATCTCATCTTCTGGCACAGCAGCCCCCTGGCACCACAGCATGTACATCTCGTGGAAAGATTCAATAGTCATATGAGTCATGTACCGCGGCTGCAAGCCTTGGACAAAGGAGAGCACCCACAAAGTTTGGTCCAAGTTTTGGGTGAACACTATTAGTGTTGGGAGAGGGCAAAGAGGGAGACAGCTTTTCCAACAGCAAGCCCAAGAACCCTCACGCATAGTAGCAGCAAGTGGAGCGCTTCCATTCAAAGATGCCAAGGCTGCCTCTGAGTGGACTACCTGCCCTTGGAAGAATGAAGGCGGCAACTCTGAGGATGTCTCACCTGGGAGGGACCAGGGTGCAAGGGCAACCAGGTATCAAGTAGGCATGAGATTGGGCGTAACAGTATTTGATATGTTCCCCACAAGTCAATCTTGAAGCTCTTTTTCAGCTGCAGTTTCGTTGAACAGAATAACATAAAACTTGCTTGTCTAGTGGTTCAAGGGGCTTGGCAAGAAAATGCCAGATGTGCACATTGCAGCTCCTTGAAGTTCTTCAAGCGGTGGCGTTTCAGCCAAGGGTTCTGCCTAGCAAGGGTCTTGCAGCAGAGCCACTACAAAAAATGAGAAACACACAGGTTGCCACCCTGATTGATCACTTTGGTTCAGTCTGATTTTGGTTGGTGCTGAACAAAATAGTTACCAATCTAAGGGCAAGGATCAAAGTGCCAGTAAAAGTATGTGAAGTAGGCATCTGCACTTGCACTCTTGGCCGTTGGCGTACGCCCATTGAACTTCCTTTGATCCACTGGCACTGAGTTTGAAGAGATGCCAGGAAGCAAGCGCAAGACCTTATGATGGCATTGGTTTTGGAGAAGTGGTGGAACCAACACCATAGGTATTGAACAATCTACATAAAACCCAATACTCCTATATTCCCTGATCACGACCCTGCCATCCATACTGTTCAGGGCAAGCACAGCATTCCTTTTCTTTACCCAGCCACCCTCTTCTCGTTGACACCAAGAAGGCCACAAAATGCTGAGCGGCACAGTGGGAATCCACACAAGGCATACTTCAGATTCAGGTTTGTAGCCTGATAGCTAGACTGGACTGGTCAAAAGTAAGCTGGAAGTTCTCCCCTACACCACTTAGGCACCAAAACAAAAACAATAAAGTAGGCTTCAAGTTCTAGCTGCATCATCAGAGTCAGACATAAGCTTTTGCAGCATTCCAAGCACAAAGCGGTTGGTCTCCTCCTGGTTCAGGTCCTTCATTTGCGCCCGGATGTCCTGTGGGCATTGCATGGCAGAGCAGAAGTGCTTTGGCTATGGTGGTGATGTCACATGACTTTGATATGATCTTCTATTCTTATTTCCAATCTCTGTAGGAAGGGTATAGGCAGCAAGTGTGTTTGTGTGTGTGTTCACCAACCATGTCCTCAATCATCTTGACTCTGCCAGAATTGGCCCGGTAGTGGTGAACACACAATTTTGAGCAGCACTTCCATGGTTTCTCAGCAGAGAGCCTGATTCTGAATGTGAGAAGATCTAAAGATTGAGAGGCTAGTCAGCTAGTCCCCTTGAAACAAATACATGTTCTATGTCGTGAGGGTTCATTTTAATATGATGTCGACATAGATTAAACAAACACAAAGTAAACTAACAACCTAATGAACATTACAGAACAACACTTGTGTACAGTTTACAATATGTCACTCTGATATGGAGTTGGGACTGTGCTAATACAAAGGCCAAGAAACGCATCCTCCAAAAACTCAAGGCGCTTTCGAGCTGGGGTCTTGAGAGGAGGATCCGGGATGGCCTTGTGGGTCATCTCTAGGAGATTTGGGCCTGCATGGATCTCCGGCCCCTGCTCATCATCTGAGGGCAACTCCATGGCAAGCAGGTGAACCGCCCTAAACAAGAAAGGCCCTTGGCAACAGATGTAATGGATCAAAACACTAAGTTTTTACATTGGGTTGGCATGGTGGGTGGAGATCTTTGAGGTAGGATGACAACAGCATTCCCTGTTGCAAGCTCTTTGGGCCACACATCTTGCATGCGATGTCGCGTGCCCATCTGAAAGCAGCATATGTGGAGGTGATGACATGGGGCCTTCCCCCTACAAGTTCTACACTATTTGCATAGATTTGTTTTACACATTCTCCTGTTGGTGACTTCAACATGTGGGGAGGAGTCCAAATCCTGGTACACAGCATGTGGATCCAGCATGTGGTTCCAGTGCCCATGCACCCACTGGCACTGGGAGCCCAGGCGAGAAGGGCCGCTGCAATGGCCGCTCCGCTGCTGCTGGCAGCTGCTGCTGCCCCCCCCCACACTGCCCGGTGGAAAAGGTTTGACCACCCATTGGAACGGGGCAGGATGGGGCAGGGCTCTCTGGAATTAGATACCATGGAAGTCAAGGAAAATGACCATCCAAAGGATTATGTTCCTTCCAGGGAGTACTGCCTCCAGCTCAGAATGCCCTCCCAATTCAAATGAAATCAATCCATGATCAAGCGCAAAACTTTCCCAAAACCGTTTTGGTCAATGTCCTAATGAGTTTCACTGAAAGGGGCCAACCTGTCAATGGCGGCTAGTTAGCCAGCAATCAGCCAACAGGAGCAAAGGGTTTCGAGGAGACAACTGGCCGTGCTGTGAAGTGTTGCAATGCATCTTCCAAGGATGTGATAGGATGTGCAGATGCTCCTGGTCCTTCACAGACGGTTTTTGTTTTTTCTTTCGGGAGACAACTACCATCCAGCCAAAGGGTTTTTTCGGCTTTTCGTTTGATCCACCAACATCGAACTTCTTAGGCGATCCCAAATGAGACTCACGCAGAGCATTCATCAAATTGGTCTGCCTTTGAGCGGCCGAGTTCCCAACGAACCACGTTCTCGTCTACCCCGTTTCGGCGCTCGCGCGCCGAACGAACCGAAACGCGGTTCCGGCGGGCGATCCCCCGGATTCGCGTCTTCCGACCTGGTCCACGTTGGTCGGGGGCGTGCGGTGGATCCTGAGGGATCTCCACCAGTTTCGTGAAAGGAGCGGCACAGAGAAAGTGGAGAAGAAAAATCGGGGAAAAAGCGCTTAGGTATCTCTTGGTATGCTCTCACAGAGCTTCAGGACGTTCATTTCGGTGGGACGGAACCGGGGGTTATTTGGTACCGAACGGACCGAACGAACAAGTTTCGGTGGAAGGAAGTCGACGACATGAGACTCGAAGAGAAAATGGTCCCCAATGTCTCTTCTCCCCAACACCTGACTATATGATCTATATGCATGCGGTATGTACCTGACTATAATTATATATTATGTGTTTTCCCCTCTCCAAAATCACCCTACTACCGCACTGCTGGTCGTCATGAATCTTGGCGCCGCCCGTGCGACGGGTCCTAGGGTAAACCCATAGCTGCAGCTGATCCAGCCAGCAGTCTCAGATCCTGCCAAAACCCTAGGGATCCAGTCGTACTGAACCGAAGATACGACTGGACCCTCCAAACCTACGTCACAGTGTCGACAAAATCACCTTCTGAGAAGGTACGACTGGATCCCTATAGATAAAGTCTTTGAAGGTCCTAGATGTGGTATCCTTGGACCATCCGACCTTTCTACCAGCACCCGACGACTCTACAGGTCTCCGAAATGGAGGCTTTTGTAGACTTCAAACAGTCGCAGGTGGTTGGTGACACTGTGAAGTTGGGTGGTACAGATGTCCTGTGGATCCCAGACCTCAGGTCTGTCCCACCCAGACGGTCGGATGGTCCAGGTATGTCCTGCGAGGAGCAGCGATTTCGGATTGGACGTACGTCCATGCACCAATGGCGGCCGAATGCCACCAACCGGACGAGCCGAAACTTGACGCCGGCCGGAGGACCTCGGCCGGTGAGTCATCTGATTTGATTGCAATGGCACTCCCTAAGGGTCCATGACCATCCTGAGGACGTCCTTTGGCCCCAAAGACCATCCTCAGGAAGTACTTTCACCTCCAAGACCATCCTCAAGAGGTACCTGCACCCTATGGCGCCACCCCAATGGACTTGACATTGACCCCAGATCAACCACCCCCAATTGATGGGATTCCACATGCTTCGTTCCATGGGACTGATTCATCTTGATTCTTGGCGTGTTTTTGTTGATTCTTGGAATGAGGCAAGTCACATCCAGGAACAAACTTCACCAAGGCAACGATGTTGCCGTCATGCCGTCGGGTGTGCTCACTCGCTCACGTCCCTCACCTCCGGGCAGTGGCGACCGACTGGGGGGTGGCGTGGCGACCTACCAGTGGGTCTATGTAGGTATACCTGGAACTACCCCGGCGGCCCAGTCCCAACCAGAAAACCCAAGGGTGAAACCGGTGGAACCAGGCCTCGGCACCAGCTTGAGAGCCGGGCCGGGGAAAAGATCCACTGTTGAACTGCTTGGGACGGACTGTTAGGGTTTTGGAGGGGTTACGTCTCCTGTCTCCACAGTTCCCCGGTTTTGGAGGTGTTCAGAGGTCCGTCGTCTCCTGGTCTCCTGCACCGCGCACGGCATGCTGTTGCGGCTCGGTCCCGAGTGCTGTTTTTTGAACACCGACCACGGTGGAAAGCGAAGAGGACGATGAGTGAAGCTGTTGATCACATCAAATTCATTTCATGACCACGACGTGACGGTCGTGTCAGAAAGATGCCTTCACTTTTTGGCATCTCGTCGAAGAACCCGAAGCACCTGCAGGCAATGCAGCTTAACTTGAATCTCCGACTTCCGACCGCCCGAACGCGCGCGGTGAAGACAGGGTGAGCCGTTGGAACAGGCGTGGTGTGTCGCATGACGGTGCGGTGTGTCATGGACCGCCCAAACGGCCCCAACGGTCCCATGGGCCTCTCCCCGAGGAGGAGGACTTGTTTTGGCCCCGTCCAGCCAGGTGACTCGTTGGATGGTCGTTGGAGGTGTTCTTTTCTTCTTTTGTTCAACGATGGTGTCCGAGACACCCACCCCCCCCCACGGATTCCTGTGGGTCCATTCCTTTTTTTTTGGGATCCAGAGCGGTGGATTAGGATGAATTTCCCCATCATGAGTAACGGAAGGTCTGGGTCTGGGTGCCCTTTCTTTTAAAGGACTATGGAGTGGCTGAGGTGAAGCTGAGTTGCTGTGATGGTCTTCTCCCCAGTGACGAAGCTGGAGTCCAAGTCGGCGATCCAAATTGGACTCACCCGAGTTCCGGAGAGGATCCTGACAGTGAGGCAACAGATCCTCAAACCGGAATTCTGGCATTTCCTATGGCATGTTCCACAGAATTCAGAATTTCAGCACCCGGAAGCGTTCAGCCTTAGCGTATTCCCCAAGAAGAACATCACCAAAAAGATCCAACAAGTGCTTTGCTCAGGATTCCTGTCGGGTTCCTGTCCTTCTCCTGTCCTTCTCCGCCACGCCTTACGAGTCACGGACAAGACACGGCGAGGCCATGGTTCTTCCTCCTCCGGAGTCCAATGCACTCCTGCCCGAGCCCTCTGAGGCAAGACATGGTGGTTTTTTTGGGGGGAGCGGGCCAGACAGACAGGTGGTTGCGGTCAAGGTGGCGGTTGAGCTGAGTTGGTGGATGGAAGAAGGATGCTTGGTGGTTTTTGGAGATGTTGATTCGGAACGCTTGGAACCGTGAACCCACTATTATAGTGTTTTCAAGGGAGTTAAAGCCTCCAAGCAGATGTTCTTGGCCAAAGAAGCCTACAAAACACCCTTCAGTGCCTGGACGTTCGCCTTCAGTGCATGGGTGCTCACGTGGTGAACCACCAACCTCTTGGTAGACGGGGAGCCAGAGGTGGGCCTGGCTCATTGCAGGATCGGTAGGTAGAAGCACCATCACATCAATGGGCCAGGATGAATTTTTGTCAGGAGTGGTGAGAATGCTACCAAGGATGAACCATCCAGTATTCGCGAATGGAAAAAGGAGTGTGAGAATCCCCCTACAAAGACCCTTTCATAGGTTCGGCTTTCTAGTGAACGGAGGGTCCAAGAAAACCATCCAAATCATACCCAGACACTCCATGTATGCCACATATAGATCATATAGAACCTGAACCTGACTATGGGCTGGTCGACGGCGGTGTCCATTGGACATGCGGCATCTCTTCCCGACTGTCGGACCTCAAAGTCAACGACTCGACTCGCCGTGCGAGTTGTGTCCCGCGGGTCGTCTGTCCGAGGACACTCCACAGCGTGGTCGGTTCGGTTTTGCTCGGCCGGGATTTGGTCTCTTTGACATGTTTGCAGTTTCCCGACATTTGTGGGCATCTTCATGTTCTTGTGCGTGTGTGTCCTTCTTTATAAAGCGATGAAGGACAACCTGTTTGTCAACGTTCATGGGGTTACACGACATGACAAAACATCAATAAATCGCATTAATATAGCCGTAATTATATAGACTGAATCTGTTTCAACCTTTTCTGCAGCTTCTTGTGTGGCGCATTTTCTGTCGTGCCACAGACCATTGCAGCTGAAGAGATGATCGGTGTGATGAGTTTCCTGCCCCTTGGAATCATGTGTCGAACCACACGAGAACGTCTCGGGGTGTTGGTAGAGGGGGGTGGGAGGACTTGGCGCTAGCTGCTAGCTTGCAGCTACCCTAAGAATCCGGGCCCGGTTTCAGCACGCAGGGTTTGGTGAGAAGGTCCCTTTCCCCCTCCGACGAGGTCGGGTCCGATGTTTGCCCATGGAGAGCCCGGACTCAGATTCTTAGGTGACCACGTTTCGCTTGGACCAAAGGGCGTTGGACATTCCACCCAAGAATGAGCCCCAGAGACGATCCCAGGACTCGGGCTTCGCTCGCCCAGCCTAGCTAGCCCCAGCTAGGTCTGCGGACGTCTCTCCGAAAGACGCCGACCCTCAAAAGATCGGGGTGAGTGATCCGCAAAAGAT